TTAGCACAAAGCAGAAAAGGTCAGTTATCAAACTGAGCACTTAGAGCAGGTAAGGCTGCATGAAAGGACATACAATACAAGCCAAAATTGTTTTGCAAGTGCAAACTTCTGAAAACAGCAGAAGAAAAAAGAAAAAGAGGTCTTGCCCATACTGGCTGCACCTTGAGTACTATGTTCAGTTTTGGGCCCCTCACTACAACAGGGATATTGAGGTGCTGGAGCGCATCCAGAGAAGGGCAACGAGGCTGGAGAAGGGCTTGGAGAACATGTCCTCTTAGCAGTAGCTGAGGGAGCTGGGGCTGTTTAGTCCAGAAAAGAGGACGCTGAGGGGGGACCTTATTGCTCTCTACAACTACCCGAAAGGAGGTTGTAGTGAGGCAGGGGTTGGTCTCCTCTCCCAGGTAACTAGCGATAGGACAAGAGGAAATGGCCTCAAGTTGCATCAGGGGAGGTTTAGATTGGATATTAGGAAGCATTTCTTTACTGAAAGAGTGGTCAGAAATTGGAACATGCTGCCCAGGGAGTCACCATCCCTGGAAGTGTTTAAAACAATGTGTAGAGGTGGCACTTTGGGATATGGTTTAGCAGGCATGGTGGTGATGGGCTGACAGTTGGACTTGATGACCTCAGAGGTCTTTTCCAACCTTAATGATTCTATGACTCTAAACCAGGCCCACAACACAGGCTTGAACATCAGAATGCAAGAGTCAGTAATACCTGACAGCAAACATGCTCTCAGAGTACAGTTTTGACCTGGACAGATGAGCATTCTGCTAGGAACTGTGCACAGGCATCGCCTGAGACTCAATATATCAGGAACTGTTCTCAATAGGCAGTTTAGTCTCAGACACCTTTTGGGGTTTTCATTGTTGATGGGTTTTTTTTGTATCAGCTTCACGTCCACTGGGAAGACTGATTTCTTCTGACATAACCCAAAAAATTGCTTCAATACAGCCTGTCTGAGAAATCTGGTGCAAGGAAAGAATTGCTCCCTTTTACCCAGTAGACAGTCTCCAAAAATTACTTTAGCCATTATCTCGCTCCATATCTATGCAGTGAAGACTCCTCCAAAGAAGAGAAATCTAGGATGGGAGTCAGGGGTGGTGTTATGTCATAGCACTGAGTCACAGACAATTTGTCGAGCTCTTGATATCACTCTTCTATGCAGAAGGCACTAAAGAACAGAAGAATGCCCCCAGTAACAGCCTTCAACATATCCTGTATTCCATATTCTGTAACAGGTAAAGCCTAAATCAGGGAGAAAGACGCTGTACTAGAAAAAGAAATCCTGCCTTGCAGCAAAGGAAAAGAAAAATGTAACAGTGGGCTCAGCTGAGCCATGGAGATGCCCGTTTAGCTAGTAAGACTGTTGATGATTGAGTATAAGCAGCTTTTTGAGGCAAAACCAGACGCAAATACCCAAGCTTTGCACAACACCACTGACATGCAGCAGCGCTCCTATATATAAAGCTGAAGAAACAGGCAGAATTTCATCTAAGATACCATTTCTGGAAGCATGTAATGCAGGGAAAATGAATTTAAAAAAAGAAAAAAAAAATCACAAGCACAGAAATTAAGCAATTTGCCCAAGCTCACATGAGATCCATGGCACAGTCAAAGTCTTTGTCCATCTCCTCAGCCACCAAACGACTTTTGCTTTTCTTCAGCTGTAAAATTCCATCCCTTAAATTTAAGCAGCAGTGCAAACATCACTAGTGTCACCATCATCGAGAGCAGTAATTCTCCGTATAAACAGCACCTCCCTCCATCTTCAGCTTCAAAACATGTTCATTTGAAGTCAAAAAGGCAAAAGTAGCTACTTGAATGTTTTGAGCCTAATTCGGCCTTCGAATTAGCAACAGACCAGAAGAGTGATGGCATTACAGCCTAAACACAGGCATTAATCAACCAAACGCATTACTGTGTTCAAAAGACTGAGTTTTGAAGTAAGCTTAGCTCTGAATACAAGGTTATGAAACTTTAAAACAACAAACTGCACAAGAGACTTTATAGCAAAGAGTGAGAGTATCACTTCTAAAACACACTTTTAAATATTGCGCTTTCTTATCAGCAAGGGACAGAGTGTTTGATCTTTGTTCTCTCCTGTATCTTAACATTTGATCTGACCTCAGGGAAATAAACTAGGTGCAAAACAAGAGAATTTCATTCTACATTCTACAAATCTATTCAGTCTCTCAGAGCAAGTAAGACCTTAACCCAGAAACCAAACGATGAGACCAAGGGAGCTAATTATCTGTACTAAAAGAAAAAAAAAAAAACCCAAACACCTAAAAATCATTTAAAAAATGCAAAAACTTGAGGACTTGTACAGAGGCAAGCATGGAACTTGCACAGTCCTGCTTGCAAGTACTGCTATACTAACACATTCCTAAGCAGGCATTTCACTTTTGAAGCGTGTGTCTGTGTCTGCCTTGTCCATCATTCGAGAGCAAACTGCCGAAGCACCAATCTTTCAACAGCAGTAAAGGCAGTCCTGCAAGGTCTATCCCTCCAGGGCCCCTGGCAGACTGAGGGAGCTGAGGCTGCTCCAAGAGCCAGAACAGCTACCCCAAGGGTGGCCACAAGAGGCTGTGCAAGAGCCACAAAGAGCCCTCCTCGCGAAGGCTGCACTCCGATCCCAGCACACCACCGGTCTGAAATGCTGAGCGAGCACAAAAAAAAACCTGACACGCTGTTTCCATAGTGCCACATCAACTTATTTGTAAGACTGCAGATGAGACTAATAATCTGCCCTGAGCACCAGAGCAGCCCAAGCAAGGTACTGTTACAAACAGCTGAACTATAAACTGCTTAACCTCCCCCTCTGCAAACACACACTCTTCATTATTAGCTTTGAATCCTGATTTCGAATGTTAAAGTCTGTATGGTACAAAGCTCATCAGTGAAATGGCATCAGTGTTAAAGGGGAGGTCACCTGGGGCTTCTCAGAACATCATGCACACCAGTGGCTGGCATTTTTTGGAGATGGACTGCAGTAAAAATTGGGTTTGCATCACGGCTTCTGCGTTTTTATTTTGACCAGTCAATAAAGCACAGGAAGAGACAGGAAGGTCAAGAAGTGTAAGCACCAGCCAAAATATCACTGAAAGGTTCTCTCACCTAATTCACTGTTATCATCCACCAAAATAATTTCATGAAGAAGGTGTGCAGGAGTGCGATCCAGGACGCTATGTACCGTGCGAAGCAGGGCAGAAAGTGCTTCGTTGTAGAAACAGATTATAACACTGGCAGACGGCAGAGCAGAAGGGTAGGACTTCTCTCTACATCTGCAAAGAAATATAGTAATCACTTTATTTTCAGCGAGATTTCCATAGGGCTATGTCACTACTGAAACTTCATAGACAGCACGCAAACACTAAATGTGTAGGAAGAAGCCCTAGCTTGAATGTAAACAGTCCAAGAGTATAACATCTATAGTAGGGCTCAGCATTAAGTTACTCTGCACATAGTACAGACTTACAGTTAACATTGTTACTTGTTAGACAACAGAGGATATGATGGATTGGGGTGGGAGTGAGAACAACAGATCCTTAAGACATAAACAAGGGAAAACACTAAGGGCTTGTTTCAGCTGTCAAAATACTGTCTGGTACCCTTGGGTAGCTCAGACACCTACAGGAACAGCAGACATGACACGGGGCCTACAGAAACCCCACAACTGTACTGGCCAGCTGCTGGACACCAGGCTGAATATCCAGAACACCTCCACCGGCGCTAAATACCCATTTAGACAACCAAGGCTGGGATTTAGTCTGCAGACTAAGACATTTCAGTCTAGTCACTGCTGTCAGTGAGTCTATACAGTGTTCAGCTCACCCTAAGGCTGACAAGTGCATTCTGTCAGCTGAAGAGCTCTGTATGCTCCATTAACCGCACTGACTGCTAATTATAATAAAAGCAGAGACAACTGACCAACATGCAGCTATCTAAGTTTATTAATCTGCAAGCTAAACCCCACTCAAAGCAGATCATTCATTTTTTCTCCTTATTTTCAAATTCTGTCCATACTTTTAATAGGGCACAGTATCACAGATTAATGCCATATGAAGATGCCAGGCATGAGGGAATCCAACAAAAATAAGAAACTATAAGTGAAAACCAGAAGTATATAAGAAACTTCTTCATTGACTTGGAATGAACTCAGCTCTTGGGAGAGACATTTCAGCAAGTATGACTCATCACATTTACCCACACCAGACACACCACTAGAAAATCAGATGCAGGTTTGTTTATTTTTCAGTTCAAAGTTGGGGGTTTTTTGTTGTTGTTACAGTGGTGGTTTTTACCCCCATATGCATCAGAGATTACAGAAAAAAAACCCTGCTTTTTAATGGAAAGTATTCAGAGCAGTGCAATCCAGGTACCAAGCAAAGACTTTGACTGCTGGCAAAGGCTCTCTGTTTCTCAGTCATTCTTCTGTCTCACCCTCTGTAGGCTTACGACAAATGTGAAACAGTACTTAAGGTGAAAGCCTCTTATTAACCTGAGCACTGGAACACGTCCATCTCTCAAGGGTACCAAACCGAATTATAGCATCTCTTCTGGTAGTTACAGTACTGAGTATCTCAAAATGAAGCTTTGAAAAACAGAAATATTGTAGCATGCTTTAAGTAACAGAGTACACAGCTAGCAAGATGAAACAGACATAGGACATGTAATCCTAGTGTTGCTGGAAAGAAAGTTTGATTCCTTTTCCACATTGACTTTTACTTAAAAGTATTATTTTCGGAATCTTGTTTTTGACAAAATAGCTCTCTGCCAATCCCACTACTCACAAAAATTACATTAACATGATAAAAGTTTGAATAAATGTATACCCAATCCGGTTCTTCATTAAGCATTCTTAAAGTGAATTAAGAATCAGGAAACAAACTTTACTTTCAAAGAACAGCAGTCTTTCTTGTTTTCTTGGAGCCTGGTTTATGTGGGGCTTTACCTATCACATCCCTTTTCCAGCTGGAAAGAAATCAGATCTCCAAAAATAATATTCAGTCAAAAAAGACAGAAGAGACCAAAGAACAAAAATCCAAACCACAAAAAAAGAGTGTTTTAACAGAAACATAATACCAAAAACGTCAAATACCACATTAGGTATAATATGAGTAACAAGTCCTTGAGCACATGAAATTATACCATGTTCTCTCCAAAAATTAGTACATACTTTGCATCTCTTGTATCAGGCACCTCCCTGTGGTATCCCAGCCGATTACTGATAAGCATATTGAAAGCATGCTTCTGATAGCCCAAGTCTCTCACTTCCTGATCTTCTTCATTAAAAATCATTCCTGCAAAAGAAACATGCCAAGATCAGTTAACAGGCTCAAAAGTGTCTTTTGGAAACAATCAAGGATTGAAACGTATGCTTTAACCTCCCCTAAAACCCATTCTGTTCTTCAAAAATCCCTCTGGTTTTGCAAAGCATATTTTTGTGCAACTATTTTTGTTACCACTCACAAATAGGTAGTACTTAACAAGTAGCCCTTGCAGCTGTAATAACATGAAATAATTCTCCAAAGACTGATGGCTCCATTGTGCTTATTGACTTACCAGACACACTCCCTTCACTTAAATGGCCTTTAATTCTTAGCATCACCTAAAAACCAACATCAAACAAGCAAGAGGATAGACTTTGGCACACAATGCATCAGCACCTATTGAAGGGTCTGTAATGGAATTTTTGACAGAGAAAATACATTTACAACAGTAGAAAAACCCTCACAATAGCCGCTCCAGTTTCACGCAGTTCTCTCAAGTCTGCAGTAACATAAAAATAGCTACAAAAAACTGTAAACTTGTTTATATCACCCGGGACTCTGACAGCAAGTAAAATAGCAACAGAGCTAGCTGTTTCCCTATTGATTATTTTAGCAGAAGCATCAACTGTCGCTGAGCACAGCAGAGGCAGCAACTGCTGGTATAGATCAGCACAATGCTAGAGGCCAAGGCTGAAGTCCTCAATGCCATCCTGCCTGCCTTGACTCAATGCCATGGGCTTCTCTCTCACTGAGCCAGTGCAATTTAGCAGTGAGATGAGAAAGAAAATACTAAGGTGCTGCACTCAACTCTTCTACACAAATAAAGCAGGGCCATGAAGGAAATGGTAGCCACCACCTGTGTCTGCTAGTCACTTCTGCAACAATTCAGGTAGCAGAGCAACGACTTTTTATTGCCTCTGATCAGCTGGCTGCACAGAATGAGATGCACATGTCCTCTCCAGCTACTATCAAGCTACAGAGGCAATTTCACTGAAATTTCAGCATAAGAAGTGAACAAGGAACATGTAATTTATCTCCTTCCACCCTGCCTATCATCTCCATACGGTTCAAACTGGTGGTCTAAACTGGTCAGTCAGTCTCCTTTGAACCACATGCATTTCCAAAGTAAGGTTTCCAGCTTGTCAGTTCAGACACCCAGCTCAGTCATTCTCAAATACTAAGCGCCACAGTAACACTGTGCCACTGGGTCAACTAAAAACATTTTCCTCATGCAAAGCACAAGCTTAGGAAGCACATACCAAATGTTTCATTCTACAACCTGTCCATAACCAACCACTAACTACTTTTTTCACACCATCTGAACATAGACAAGGAGTAACATTAATACTTTTAAAACATTCTTATCAAGAACAATATCCAAAATGCATGCAAAAGGCCTGAAAGATTTCAGTCCAAACAGCAGATAAAAACCCTGGGAAAATAAGGGCTTTGCAATGGAAACATCAGCTTAGGCTTTACTTCAGCAGTGTTGTGTGGCTCTCAGATTAAAAAAAAAGAAAAGAAAAGATAGATGGTCCTACCAGATGACAGTTTGGTTCTGGCTATCGCATGCCAAACCTCTTCTGATTTTTCCGCTTTGGGTGTTTTTCACTGTCCTACCCCAGACAGACAGGAAGCCCATTCCTGCAGCACCTGATCTAACAGAACACCAGCTGCCTCCTCATGATTCATGCAGAATTTATCCTGGCACTGTAATTCCCCTCAGTTTTCACCAACCAAACCAGTCACTTCGTTTGAAGATCAAGGAACTTCTCAGTTAAAAAGGTCCAATTTCTTTCCTGGCCAGCACTGAATAGTTGGAAAGAAATGGCCACCTCTGGACTGGACTTCACCTCGCTTGGCTCTCGTGCTTTTTGCAGTGAACTTATAAACACTTGTAATACCACAGGGCAACGTGAACTGGCATTCTTCCTACATATTCACACAGGTCTAATGACCAATTTGGAAACTGAGGTTTAGTAAAGTTCTATAAACTCTTCAAGCTGGTGATCCACCATTCATCCAAAGTAATGACAGAGGACCTCAGATATTAGGATTAAACTCCTGACTACGAAGGGTACTATGCCATAATTCCCAGAGCAGCGGACACTTATAGCACAACACCCAACATCTGCCTCCAGACTTGAAGGAATTTTGAAGGCTAGTATGCAATATGCCTCAGTTTGCACACCTGAGCACAACAGCAAACACTAAGCTGTAAGCAGTCAAATATACAAAGCATTTTAGTTTGGCAGGCAAGTTTGAAAGACAAACCCAAATCATCTCATTGATGAAATATGCTCCAACGAAACACACAGACCTTTGTTGGAGCAAAGTAAGAATGATTTCGCCCTAACCACTGTCATCTCAACAAATATTTCATTGTAATTTGTCCCACACACATTTTCTGTAGATGATTTCATAGTCCAAGGATATTCTCCAAATCAACAGGTCCTCTTCATTGTGTATTGTTATCAAGATATTTTTAATTACTGCATATGAGTAAAGTTTCTCTGTGCCTAATAAAAGTTCACGTATTTGTGCCCAGTCAACACAGGAGTAAGTCATGAAAAAGCATACACTGAACCTTCCAAAAGGAAGAACTACACGAAGGGTAGACACCTTGCTGTAATCCAGTCCTCCTCATCAGCACTTACACAGCACAGTTCTAAATGTCAGGAATAGTATATTTTGGATTAAACACAACAGAATAAATTTCAAGTAATTCCTAATAAAGAGAGCCACTAGTACCACCTGCATTTTAACAAACAGAACTACTTCATTACACAATTTTCCCTGAACTCCTTTAGAAAACAAACCAACCAGCCTTAATATCTCATTTCTTCTACTGTTTTAATAATTTTGTCATCAGCACTGAAAACCACTTACCCATTTCAGGAGAGAATTCTACCTCCCCTTTAACTGGGTCCTGGACATGATTTCCAAGAGGATTTCCTATCTTACTCTCTTTCTGTTGTAATTCAGGTATATGAACAGGCCCCCGCGTAAAACGGGGGTAGAACTTTTTTGGAAATGGCCTCTGAGGTTCCAGCCCCTTGACGGGCACATTCTTGAAGGATTGGTTCTCTTCACTGAAGTTGAAATAAACAAAGAGCAGAAGTGTCCAGGTCACGGATGTGAAAAGGCACCCATAGCAGAAATAGCGAAGTGTGACACTTCCCATTGTAGACTTAGCATCGTTGAGGACCCATTCTCAATTACCTGAAAGAGAGTGAAAACACATTTTGAGTGCTGCCTGTTACTTCATCAGGTCTATACTTTAGGAAATGCATTCCATATGCTGCTTTTTCTATTAATGATTTCTGGAACTTAAACTTTAGCACAAACCTTAAGAATGAAACCCCTTTTCGCTTTCCCATTCAAAAAATAAACATGACCAGTTCACACATTCTATGTAGATACTAATGCTTTAAAACATGAAGCAAACACTAAGAGCCCAGACACAAATAAAGGTAAAAATAACTACTTTTTCCTCATAACAGTTACTTATCTCTCTTCCACAACAGTGCATTCCTTGTATGCCTGCATTCATTTAAACACTTCACCATTTAACTAAATATACTACACACAGAGAATTGATTCTTCACAGAATCACAAAATGGTTGAGGTTGGAAGGTACCTCTGGAGGTCACCTTGTCCAACCCCCTTGCTCAAGCAGGGCCACCTTGAGCCAGCTGCCCAAGAGTATGTCCAGACATGTCCATTTTTGTAGTTCAGTTCCTATCCTAAAGCGCCGAATGAGAGAACACAGACTCAAAGAGCAAAACAGTTCTGGTCTCCTCGCCCCAAATTTAAGAACAGCCATCATGAGCATTTCAGAAATTCCAGAAATCATGGGGTGCAATTTAACAACATACAGCACCAAGACCGTCATCACATTTACAGATACTCCTCTCTGCAGAAAGAAAGAGATATGAGATAAAGAGCAAGAAGTTCCAAGGTCATGTACTGGGTTCTTGCAGGCCCCTGCAGACTCCAGAAGAGCTTCCATACTCCGTTGGAGGAGATGCCCACCCAGAGCTGGAAGGAAACAACCCAGCCCAGAGTTTTATTTCAGGCACCCACCCACTAACACAAATTCCGCAGGTTACATTGAAAATAACTATCCCCTGAAGTGAAGCATATGGAGCTGGTGACAACATTTTACTCATGGCCCAGGAGAATCAGGTAAACTTTCTGGAGCTCCTCAAATCTAAAAAAGGCTCCAAAAGAAATCCCCAAAACTATACAGCTCAGTTCCCAAAACTGAGAAAAACACAAAGAATTAGATTTCTCTCATCAGTATCTAACCATAACAAATTCTTCGCATAGTAACAAGAAGTCAGGAAACCATTTAACCATATTTAAATAGCAAAACATTTATTTTAAGAAAATAGAAGTATGGGGTAGGAGTCAAGGGTTTATGCTGATGTATTTTTCAGACTTCTCAAAAAGTCAGAATCCATCAGGAGTCTTCAGGTCAGGCTGGCTAAGAACAAACCACAACAACATTTATGAGTACAAACGGATTATTCCCTTCTCAATATGGAAAACTACTAAACAGAGGTAGAAGGCGTTCATGATCCCAAAGAAACCTATAAAGATCCCACTTCTTTTGGCAATGTAATTCTGAGTCCTAAGTGACTTGCATCCAAAAAGAATACACGTCAACATTCAAGCTCACATTTCCCAGACTACACCATGTCATTGCCTCCCTTCCAAAAATAAAATATCCACAAAGTAAAATAGAGTAAAAAACCAAACCTCCTCAAAAATAATTTACCCATTATTCTTACCATGTCAAACTGCCTCACTTCTGCAAGGCAACAATCTACACAGCAGTTAAGCCCAAGGAGCTTAAAAAGGTCTTAAATGGGGTTTAAATCTCATACTGACCCTGTGCATACAAACGAATTGTATGCTCTGTGAAACGGGCTCTTTCTGTAACACCGTTACACGGAAATCTTGCCGCTTAACTGTAGGGCCATGCAGCTAGTCAGGCAACAAAATGCTCTAGGGGCAGAAACGATTAACACACACACACACACATCCCCATTCCAGCTAACAGAACGGGTTTACCAGTTGGAGAGGTACAGACAACCAAGCCCCAATGCCTTACAGCCTGTGCAAACAGTAATCAATGATCATAGCAAGGCAAATCTAGGCTCAGAAAAGCATGTAAGGCTGCAAAGGAGCAAGATTAGATAAACATTTATATCCTCTAATTATAATAATTCTTCTTGTCAGACAGTCTGCAGACAATTAGTATTTATGCATAAAAGAAGATCTGAGTGCTTGCCAGGTATTTTTTTGCTTTGCCACAAGGAGGTCATCTGCTGTAAGCCTTGTCCAAGCCTAATATACTTCTCCTCAAAGCCTGTTAAGAGTTGTTTTTCCATTCACTATGGTAACACAGATGCACAATCCTAACATCATGGCACATGCACTTACATTGTGGAACACAACTGTTCTAGTAAGATAAAAATTACTGCAACAGAGAAGAAACCTTTTCATTTCAGACCTGTTTAAGGATACATCTACACTGCAGCTTGCACAGGAAAACCAAAGATAACCCTTGCTATCTCAGGTAACAGTAGGAAGACAGGCATGCAGAGCAGAATTCATCATCGACTGAGTATTTCCCCAGCGTCTTTCATCTCTCTTACGGCTCAGAGCTCCACCTTGCTGCTGTGGCTCTTCTAGCCACACTAATGCTAAAGTTTGCTATGACTGACAATCAGGCATACTCAGATTAAAGAGGAAGGGATAAATCAGTAATCACCAGAGTGAAGAGACCGCTATACATACCTTTCATCTCCAGAAAGCCCCCTGACCAGGGGGCACACGTTTGGTTACTGTTACAAAGGCAACAAATGCAAACCTGAGCATGATATTATTCCCACATGCTCCTTACTAGAACTGAACTGTTTCACCTTCTTTTCCCCTCCTTCACTGCTCTGCAGTTTTGTAGCAGGATACAAAGGTTTAAATACTGCATTTAAATCAAATGTCAGAACCTCCACAATGCAGAAAAGTAGGCTCTTTCAGTAACTTGCTATTCAACCAAGACATCTGGTAATAAATTTGGCAGGAAAATACAGACTCACTATTTATTTTCTTTAAATACCAAATGTTTTGTTAGACACTTACTTTTGAAGGCAGAATGGAAAAAATTTAAACCCTGCCTATGAAAAGCACATTGAGGCTTATTAGTTTACTTTATTCACCAACACATATGCATTTACACAACCGCTGTCCTATGGATTTCAACCACTTCTACCATTTAAGCAGCCACAGAAGTTGCAATCTGCGTCAGAGCTGCACACTCCAGTTCTAGACAGTTTTAGGTTGACCATGACTTCTTGCAGATGTGTTTTAGCAGAGAAGCCACAGTAGGTTTTCAAAGCCTAAGCAATGCCAGTTCTGCTTGGGACCTGCCCTGAGGAACCAGGCGAACCTTTCCAGCCCTATACTTTTATGCATACAAAGTACAATCACACCAATATCTCTCTGCCTCTCCTCAGTATACCAAGAATCAGGCATCCCTTCACTCCTTTCAGCATGCAATGAAAAAATAACCACTTTGATACACACCAGAGGGAGCGACGAGAGAATATTTCAGCTCATCACACAGACCCAGGAGGAAACACTCAGTTCAGAGGCAGCCACTTGGCCTCGATTCTTAATCTTCCAATCCATGACTCTCTTCTGCAAGCCACCTAGACACAGTGAATAAAAGACTCACCCTGTCCAGACTCCTGAATACAGGAGATGTAAAGGATATGCCTTTCAAATCCAAAGTATTAGCGTGGTTCTCAGCCCTGATACGTGCTGCATGACAAAACTAGATTATATATATTTTTAACTCCAAAGCCCTAAAGCTCTGCTCATGCAAGCAGAGCTAGCAGGTTTGAACAGCTAAATAGAAGCAACTTAAATCAAAAAAAGCAGGATTGCATTATCCAGATAATAATGTCAATGAACTTGTAAGAATACTTTTCATCTATGCAATAAAGACAGTAAAACTGAGTCCAGTCATGAATAAATTGCTATTTAGACAGTATAGTTAAAACCCATTTTCTATCTATTTATTCAAATACAAATAAAAATACTAACGGCCATTAAAAAAACCACTATGATTTAAACATATCAAGAGGAATTGTTTCACAATACCGTTTCTCAATTACTGGTAATTGAGACTAGGCTTGAAGGGTCTATTGTGTTTCTCCCCTTCATTTCTGAAAAGCAACACAGCTGCCAAAAGTAAGTTTCCAACATACCTCAAACAAATCTATTTCTCAAAAATACATGTAGTGAAGAACATCCACAATGAACACAAGACATGTCCTCTCCCTTGGCAATATAGGAGCTTTCACAGCAAATTATAAATGATAACACCCTGAAATATTTTACAAGCATTCATTCACATACACAACATCCTAGCAAGACATGGAGTTTATGGCTGTTTGCATTGGTATACTTAGGAATCCAGAGATACACTAACATGACAAACACAAATCATTCAGGTGGCAGCATCTCCTACATCAGGAAACTACAATCCATTTTGGAGGCAACTGGGAAAACAATTACCTTAGAAGCTGCCCCCATCAGCATCAGCTCAGAAGAGACTAAGACTGAAAGGCACAGTATTCGGAGAACTTTTAACCAAATACTCTGCCTTTCAGTCTCTCTTGTTGCTCTGTTTTGACTGTTAGATATTTACTGCCTAATAGTTTTCAGACTTTGGCAAAGCTTTGGAACAGAGTTTGCAGACCCACATGCCAGAAATGCCAAGAGTAAAATATTCCTCTCTAATTTCCATGAATTCCAGTACAGAAGTCTCAGCTCCTTGCACAAGTAGTAAATCATTGATTTTTTTTTTTTTTAAAGAGAACTATGCAAGTCAAATATTAGTAAAAGTCTCTGAAAGTCAATCAATTGCAAAGCTGAAAAAAAAGACTCCAGGAGCCTACCTGCCAGACTTGAGCTTCAGTAATAAAAAAACTGTGCAATATTGCTTTCCATGTGGCACCCAGCTTCTTGTAGCATCCTTACAACATCAGCATGGCATTCATTTCATTTAATAATTGGCCCAACAATGATACAACTCTGTTCTCCCAGACAGCCTGGGAGAGTGTCGCTACTAACCTGTGCAGCTCTAACTAACACTGGCCCAATGTGTTGGCCTTAAATATTTTTAATAAAAAAAAAATGCCAACCGCC